CGGTGCCCGCAGGAAGCTGAAGAACCGCGTGGCGGCGCAGAGCGCGCGCGACAGGAAGAAGGCGCGGATGTCGGAGCTGGAGCATCAGGTGCTGGAGCTCGAGGAGGAGGTGAGCGGGGCCCGGTGGTGAGGGGCAGTGGGTGCCGCGGGACCTCCGTGACGCTGCTGTGCTCGGGCTTCTGCAGAACCAGAAACTGCTGCTGGAGAACCAGCTCCTCCGGGAGAAGACGTGCAGCCTTTCTCTGGAGAACCGGGAGCTCCGCTGCCGTCTTGGTTTGGATGCGCTGAAGGTGGAGAGCAAGAGTGAGCCCCAGGTGAGCTCCTGTGTCCTGGCAGGCCTTGGTGAGGTGGTGGCACTCTGCAAGGAGGCATCAGGGGCCAAAGGAGCATAAACTCTCCTAGGGCCATGAGTGCCAGGACAGAAATGGGCATGTTGTGAGTGATGCTTCCCTATCCAGAAAGGCGTTTTTTTCCTTTCAGGTAGAGGCTTTCCTGCAAGCCAGATAGGAGGTGCCTCTGATGTGGGCACTACTGACAGCGTGGCAGGTGGCCAGCTGGTTAGAGCTACACTATGTAAAAACCAAATAGCCTGCTCTTTCCTGGAAGCAAAGAAATAGCTATTTTGATCTTATCTCTTAGTGAAGAAGAGATGATGAGAGGTCAGACTGTTATTTATGAGCGATATAAAAATGTATTTGCAAATTTTTAAGGTCGAGCCAATTTTTAAAACAGTTTTGTTTCATTTGCCATCAATTCCTGCAAAAGCAAGCAGAGATTTTAGTGCTGGAAATCTTTGCAGTAAGAATGTGATATACAAGAGGCTGTGCTGGGAGTTGGAGCATCTGTGGTGACTGACTTGGCTTCTTGTTTGGGATAGGTTGTGAAGGAATCTCAGGTGGATGAGATCAAGTTGGTGACCGGGTCCGCTGAGTCCGCAGCACTCAGACTACGTGTTCCTCTGCAGCAGGTACAGGCCCAGCAGTCACCAGTTCTGACAGCTTCCACGTGGATTCTGATACCAATGATACTTCAGACTCTGAGGTGAGCATCTACCCTGTCTGAAATGCCTGTGAACTTGAGAAAAAATTTGGATTTATAAATAGCAAGAATCTTGTTTTAACACTAGTGTCTTTATGTTGATGGCTGATAGTATCTCCACACTGCTTCTTTCCACCACCACCTTTCTACCACCCTGCCCCACTGTATGGCTCAAGACAGCTAGTTGCAAGTCTTATCTTAGTGAGTGGACAAGTTCATGCAGGTTAAGCTCTTTTTTTCCCATAAAATCTTACAAATATTCTTAGCTCTTGCAGAAAAAATGCAAACATGAAAGCATATTGTGCCTTTATTGTTATTGTAGATTGATACTGATGTGCAGGGGCTTTACAGAGCTGTTGGTACTTGGCCTGTCCTAAATTTCCTGATCATCAGTAACATGAGACAGTTTATTTGAAGCTTGGATAAATTTGGTCTATAGCAAACCTTTGGTCATGGGCAAGTTTGCCTAAGATAGGTGCTGACACTTGCTCTGTGGAGCTAGCAAGTGAGTGTGGTGTTTGTATGTGATGGGTCCAAGATCTCAAGGATCAATTTGAGTATCAAATACAAGACAAGCTCTGTGAGGATGTCCAGTGCCATTGCAAAAGTTAATGGACTAAAATTCTGAAAGATGTGTAGCTTCTACAAGTGTATTTTGATAGCCGTGTTCTTGGTAAACTAGTTTTATGCTTGTTACATACCTTAACTTCTAGGTAAGCGTGTTTAGGTGCCAAAATCGGATGTTTTCTGCTAACAGTAGGAAGCTGTTTTTCTAAAACAGTATTTCATTCTCCAGTCTGATCTCCTGTTGGGCTTTCTGGATGGTTTGGACCCAGAGATGTTTCTCAAATACACCGATTCAGAGTCAACGTACCTGGAAAAGCTGGAGGAAGAAATCTGCAGAGAAACAAATTCCATACCAACCTCCCCCTCTCCATCTTTGGGGTCCCCATCAGCTAAGTTGGAGGCCATTAATGAACTGATAAGGTTTGATCATGTATACACAAAGCCCCTGTTATTGGAGATCCCTGTTAAAATGGGCAATCAAACTAATATGCTAGTGAAAATAGAGGAAGTATCTCTCCCTCAATCTGAAGATAAAGCTATCCCTGAGACCCCTGTATCTGTGAAGGAGGAACCTGTAGACAGCTTCGTGCCTGAACTGGGCATCTCTCATCCTTTCCCCAGTTGATCAGCGTCTGACTCAGTAGAGTTAACTCTCCTTGGATAACTGCCCTGGTAGGATAACACAGCATGCCCCTTCTGAAGGGAGGAAGTGTAGGGAGAAAGTAAAGTTTTCTCAGAAAAGTGCTCATTTCTCCCCTGCTAGTAGTGATGGCCAGTGCATTTTTTTTTTTCCTGGGATTAAAGGTAAATTATCTTCCCATCTGCCCCAAAGATGACATGAATGTTGGCTTTTGAGGAAGGAAATTTTTTTTCAGCTTGCCATTTCTGGAGGAGCCTGACAATTATTTCAGCTGTCTATACATAAACATCCCAAAGATTTTGGTATTAGAATTTTCACTTTTAATAATAAACATTCAAATTAAATATGTAAGATACAGACTACTTATGTAAATGTTTGTTTTCTGTTTGCTATGTAGAGTTGCTTTTTCTGTTTTAATATTTAAATGTCTTTGTGCAATTAAAGTGCAATGCAGCTCACTCTTCAGTTTTTGTCATGGGGAGGGGAGAGTGGGGCTTGTAGGGTTTGAATTGATTTGTACAACTTAATTGAAAATTTGGGGTTTTCAAGAATTGGTCCTTGTACAACCTTGGTGCATCAATCCAGCAACATTTACATGCTGCATGTTTAGCTGGATGTTTTAGCAGTCCTTGCTATGTTGTATTATCACTCACTTGATGTTGCAGACTCTGCAAGGTAGGATGGAGTTATATGAATACCAAGCTGGAATGTTAAAAACTCCTTTTCAGAGTAAGGATTGGAGGAAGCAGGAGCCCGAGATGTCTGAATAAAGCTACTGTGATGGCTTTGTAGTAGCAGTTAATGTCACTGTCAGAACACTGCAGAACAGTGACTATAGATCAATGCAGTTCTCCCTCTGCTTGAGGAACACTAGATGTTTACCTTTATAGAGTGAAAAAGTGTGGATTTTATTTCTTCAGCAGGTTCTGTGGTATATAGTTATTTGCAGGGCTAACTTGAAATATCTCAATATGACTAAAAGCTTAGCTAAAAGTTTTATTGCCTTATCCACTTACAACAATACTGTGCTAAAAATACCTGCATTGGAGTGCCTGGTGAAGGAAACTGAAATTCTGTGGTTATTATGAGAGCTGGTCTGGTGGCTAATATAAGTCTGGTGTGGTGGTCTTGGTTTCAGGGATATTTCATGTTTTCTGTAAAACTTGGACTGAAATAACTTTAACTGGGAGGATACTAGTCACTAAGTTTTGAAGTGGCAAGACTATTTCAGATTGCAAATTTGACTAACTTAGAATGCTGTAATTAAACATTTATCTGAATATCAGATCACAATAAAAACTAGACCTGTGCTATGTAGCAGAAACTTTTTTTTTTTTTTTAAAAGAGGAGGCATAGGGACAAGCTAAATCTTTAAGTAAAGGATTTTAGTGGTAGTGTTGCCCTTGAAATGGCTAAGCTTATTAAGAGGATGTGCCTCAGCTCAGGTTCACTTGTTAGTGTTAGAATGCATTTTTCATACAGCAACTTACGTCATTAAAACAAGCACCTAAAATTTAGCAGCTGCTAAATCTTAAGGCCTTTACCAAAATAAATTTATAAGGAAATTATATGAAATTTAATATTCTAATTGCCTGAACTGCTTTTAATATTTCTTTCCTTCTGAATGTATTCATAAGTAGTGTGAACATAGATAAGAGGGCTTGCTGTCCATCATGGGGATGGCTTATAGCAACAGAGATGAGTGTGTTTAAAATGCAGTAAGGAAATTCAGAGGAAACAAACTGTACTTCAAAATGTGCAGGTTTTGAGCATTAAAGGCTGCAAAATAGACTTGGACTTATATTTGCCCTCTTGCTGAAGGGATTTTCTTTCAACCTAGGGAAGGGCTTCACCTGTGATTTCAGCTTTTGTGGTTTCTAAGACAGAAGCCAGTGAAAAAGGAAAGTGCAACCCCTCCCTGGCCTGGCAGGCATTACAGCCCAACAGCTGTCTGAAAATGGCACAGGTGGAGAACGTAAGAATACATGCAAGAGAATAACTGCGCTAAACAAATCCTGCAGAAATTCTCTGCCTTGCCTGGGCTTTTGCCTTGAGATTACCATGAGAAGTTGGGTGTTTCAGCTGCCCTTCAGAATGCAAACATTTATACCTCTACTGCATGCTGCTTTGCTCTGTTCCTGTGTCAGATGAAATGCAGTTCTCAGCCTCCTGGAGCAATTGCTCCTCCTGCTACAGCAGTTCTGGGCTGTTGGAACAGGAGCTCAGCACTTTTAATCAGTCAAAGCAATTTAAAATGTCAGAGTAGTTAATGATGGTTTTAATGAGCATTTTAGGCAGCATACACTTCAGTAGCTGCACAGGCAAGCCTTTTAGGTCTCCTGTAAAGTGAATTCACCTTCAGAGGTTGCCCTAGAGCAGCCAAGTGTGTTGAAGCCAAGGTTGTGGCCACAGTGGTGCAGGGAAGCAGCACTAGTTCAGCTCCCTTTTTCTGCACCTTAATTGCACAAGCTGCCAAATATCACTTTGAACTAGAGCACTGCAATCCTCTGAATTTTCCCTTTACTTCTACAGCTGCAATTAGGCAGAAGGAGAAGAGTGGGATGGTGGTGAATGATGTGGTGGCAGGAAGCTCCTTCATCTACTACAGGAAAACCCTCCACAGCTGCTTGTTCTGCTATTGCCTGTCAGGCAGGAGAAGCCCCAGGCTCAGAAACACCTTGCTGTGGGGCATGATCAAGACACCTCTGGCTGTCTCTTCTCCCCTGCTACAAGCTGCTCTGGAAAGCTTGATGACATCTAACCTTTCCATCTTGCTGCACAAACTGCCTCCATGTGGTAGTGCTTGTACCCAGGCAGCTACATTACGGAGTACCCAGTAATTTCCCAGCTGACACTTAAAAGTTTAAAGTGTCACTGCCGCCCAGTGCCCATTTGTGGTATTGATGAAACATGAGCAGACAGGTGTCCCATTGCCCTTACCTTGAAAACATTCTATGTCCATGAGCAACAGGCATTTTAAACAGCTTACCAAATTAAAGGAACAGTTCTGTTATGGTTACATTGCCATGTTTGTCACAGACAAACCTTACTAAATGCAGTAGTTGAAAATTATAACTAATTTACACTTTTTTGTTTCCCTTTTTGAGCTTTATGGACATATGTATTTCCTGAGATGCTTTTTTTTGAGAATTACTGGCAGTACAGGTTCCAATGTAAGGTACAATTACAAGCTGTTATCTTTCACTGAGATCTCTCCCCTTAAAAGCACACAGCTATTTCTTCACAGGACTTCAGCATGTGGAAGTCTAATGGAATTTGGAATTTCCATTTATACTGGTATTGTTTAGTGGAGCCAAGGCAGCATAGGAACAAAGGACCACAAGCTTTTATGCTTTTAGATGGCACATCGACATCCACAGATTAAAGTGAGAATTTATAGCAACAGCAGATGATCTGTATCTGAGATTGTTATGTGGATGAGAGAAGCTAAGTTAAACTAAACCCAAAGTGTGTGTGTGTGTGTGTGTGTGTATGTGTGGAGAGGATAAGGGAGGTAAATATATCTTTGGGGGATGTCACCTTTACAGCATACTTCCTTAAGATGTCTACTTTCCAATTGCAATTCCAATTGTTTTATGGAGTCCCATCTACAGAGATACAAGCCAGTCCGTTTGCATTATAGCAAGCACAGGGACAAACCTAGCACACATCTGTCTTATATCTGCTGTTGATTACAAACTATCTGAAGGAAACAACACCTCTGCCATAGCAAACTGATGTAAGACATGAGCTTTAGAGCAATAGCAAGCCCGGCCCCAATTCCTGACAAGGTAGGATTTGTCCCCAGGGTTGGCTCTGTGGCTGGAACACTGCCACCCCCCACCACAAGGTGGCAGCCACCGTCTCAGGAGACCTTCAGCCAGCAGAAACCTATACACAGTCCTAAAAGGGTGGCATTTCATCCCGTTTTCTTCTCATCTAACCCCTACCCTGGAGAATTAAGTCTTAATAACAAAAAAAAAAAACACCCAAGCCACACTGTGGTTTAAATGTTTGATGCTATCTTGAAACTTTTTTTTAAACCTGTTTATAGAAATAAATTTGATGTGTGATTTCCCTCATTTTGAAAGCAAAGTTATTATTAAAATTCATGTGTTTTAAAACTCTCCTCATTCAAAGACTTCTTGATTTTAGACAGCTAGCCCAGTCAGGCGTTCCTAATTTTAGTCTAATGTAAAATGAAGGATCTCCAAACAAGAGCTCTAGCAGTACCTCTTGGGAGTCGTTTGCTTCTCTTGAGACCCTTGGCTCAGGACACACCTGCAGCCTCTCTTCCCTGCCTGCGGATTCATCTTTATTTCTACCCTGCTGTTGAGGGAAGTGACATCTCCCCAGTACCTGATGGTTGAATTTTGTTTTTAGGCCAGGGTCCAGAAGAGTGTTACCTCCAAGAAAAGGCCCCTGATCACCATCATTGTCTTCCCCTCTATAAAGAAAGAAACACAGCCATCTAAAAAATATTCTAAAAATTTTATTGAAAACTGCCATACAAAGGGGGATTTGGTCCCAAGAGAAAACAGACCAGGATCAGATCTTTTATATTTAAAAATAAAAGATAAAGATTTTCCTAATACTGCAATACATGTGCCGTCTTGCTTGTAAACAGAATAAGTCTTGCAAGGAAGCCAACAACAAATAAACTGTCAGAAACAAAGAACTTGGAAATGACTCGGCCGCCTTCCCCTCTCATACTCTCCAAGTCATGGCTACAGCAAAAAATTTGCCCCATCCTCCCACATAATTATTC